TCCGCCCCCTCTTGCTGCTTTGTCTCCCCTCCCCCCACGAGATGCGCTTGCGCCACGAGAATTCCTTCCTCCTGCAAATTGGTCCGTCCAGCTGCGTGCGGCTTCGCCTGCTTGTCCATGACGCGATGTTGGACCGGTGTGGCAGTGTCATGCTTCAGGTAGGTGCATGGATGAAAGAGGCAAGCGGGGCGGGGGGGGGGGTGGGAATATTCCGCGGGGTTGCCCACATACCTCTGGGGCAGTCACCTTCACCCCCTCCCCGCTCCCTTCCTCGCTCTCTTTTTCCTCCTCCCCTCCCCTCTTTGTCCTCCTTCATGCGCCCACACACGCCCGACTCACACGCACTCTTGGGGACACACGCGCACATGCACACATTGGGCCAGGAAATCATGGCCGTTCTCCGGAGAATGCTTCCCCTGTCGTTGCCCGATGGGGTGGGCGCCAGCAAGGCCCTCGATGGCCCCGGATCGCTGGAGGGCGCCAGTCGGGTCCACCATTCGGCCGACTTCACGCTCACCCTGACGGTGGAGATGGTGGAGCCAGTGAGTACCCTGTTGACGGCTGAGCGCCTGGAGCCGGAAGCCCGGGCCCTGGCGGCCGGGGTCCTCCGCTCAGTCTCCGGTCCAGCCAGCAATGCCAGCATGGCCCTGCCGGGCCTTGTGCTGGATCGCTCGGCCGACACCCCCCCCGGGCTGGCCCTCTTCCGGCCGATTGTGGTCGTGGTGCTGGTGGACGTCCCGGAAGCCGAGCTGCAGGCTGTCGCGGCCCAAACCGAGCAGCAGCAGCAGCAGCAGCCCTCTCTTGGAAGCTATTTCGAGGGCACGGCCCCGCCAGGCGGCTAAATGCATCATTGCAGGCCGCGATCGAGGCAAGTCCGTGGGGGAAAAGAACCGGGCAAGGGTCGAAACGCGGGGGAGTCTATATCTTCCTCTGCCTCCACCTCTGACAGGAGGGGGGGGGGGAGGGGCGGGAAAAGCAAGTGTGGCTTGTTGGTGCGACAAAGCAGCCGGGGGGGGGGGGGCAGTGTCGCGGGGCGGCGTGCGAGCTGTTCGGTGTCCTTGACACCATCAGTACTCGTACTCACGGCCAGCCCACCAGTGGAGGAGGTGCGGCGTGTAGTAGGTGATGAGGATGCGCGACCCGGCGCGCACCGCGCCCTCGAGGCTCTCCTGCACAGCGGCGCGCAGCTGCAGGGCCCCATGCTGAGCCGCATGGTAGAGCATGGCATACTCGCCGGACACCTGGTAGATGGCGACCGGGACATTGGGGTACTGGGTGTGTTTTTTTTCGGGGGGGGGGGAACAGGAAAGGCGGTGAGTGGTCTTTTAGGGATTCGCGACAACGGGCAAGCGAGGGGGATGGAGAGAGAAGGAAAGGGGAGAGGAAAAGGCTGGGAGCCGGACAAAGCAGCCGGCTGTGCGTGTGTGCATGTCCGTGCGTGCAGCTTCCAGGGAGGCGGAGCCAGGGAGGCGGGGGGGGAGGGGGGCATACCTCATTGGCCGCATCGCGCACAATGTCCAGGTATGGCATGCCTGGCTTGACCATGATGAAGTCAGCCCCCTCGGCCACATCACGGGAAATGGCCCGGCTGGCCAGGCCGCGGGCGCCGGCCGGCAGCTGGTAGCAGCTCCGGTCGCCGGACCCGGGGGCCGAGTTGGCCGCCGCGCGGAAGGGCCCATAAAAGCAGGAGGCGAACTTGGCGCTGTAGGACATGACGGACACGCGGTTCTGCAGGTTGCGGTGGGCAAGCGCATGCTTGATGGCCGCAATTCGCCCATCCTGCATGTCGGACGGGGCAATGACGTGGGCGCCTGTGTGCGTCGCGAGGAGGGCGAAGAGGAGGGCGCCTGTTAGCAATGGCAAGGGCATGGCCAGGGCAGGGGCCTGGACGCATCGCCAAAGGTCGCACCCTCGAGCGCGAAGGCCAGCGCAATGTCGCCCAGGCGCTGGATTGACAGGCGGTGATCCAGGCCGGACGCGCCGGGGGCGTGGCAATCGGCCGCATCGGCCGGGCTCGGCAGGCCGCAGTGGCCGTGCCCGGTGTAGCCACACAGGCAGAGATCGCATGCGATCAGCAGCGAGGGGAAGCGCTCACGGATGATGCGAATGGCCGTGCGCACGGGGCCGGCCGCCAGGTCAGCCGCCGACCCGGTGTCATCCTTCGGCAGGGTCGAAGCATCGGTGATGACACCAAACAGCAAAACCGACCGCAGGCCAAGCTCCACCAGGGGAGCAAGATAGGCCTCGATCTCGCCGGGGCCCAGGCTATTTTCCCGGGGCCGGGGGGACAGATGGAGGAGAGGGGTCAGCGCTGGCCGGCGCCCGGGAGCCGGCGAGGAGGCGGAGGGCGAGAGGGGGAGCAGGGGGGAAAAAAGCCAATAGGTCCCAAAGAGGCGACGGGACAGGCGCAGCGCGTACCGGAACTGCCCGGGAAGGCTGGAGATGGGCTCACGGGCGCCTGGAACCTCCGTGACGAAGAGCGGGAAAATCAGGCTGTCAAGGCCGAACTGGCAGGTGCCGTCGGGGCTCTGCCCGGCGCCGGCCGTGTGCCAGGCACGCAAGACCGGGTGCCTATGGCGAGGGTCAATGAGGGGGACAAGGGGGGAGGGCGGGGAGGGGCAGGCGAGCGAGGTGGCCGGGGACAAGAGGGGGGAGGTGGAGCGGGCCACAGGAGACACCCCTCATCGGGCGGGCGGGCGGGCGGGTGGACGGGCGGGGTGGGGGGAAGGGGGGGGGAGGCAGAGAGGCGCGCACGAAATCGAGGCATTGAGGTTCTGGCCGGGAAGCTGGAAGGAGTCCCACATGGTGTGTGAGGGGGGCGGCGGGAGGGGAGGGGGGAAAAAGGTGGGGCAGGAGGGAGCACTTTGTGCAGGTGTGTCCCGTCCGTCGGCTTGGGGTGGTCCTCCGCTTAAAATGCCCCACTCCCCGGCCCCCCCCCCCCACACACACACACGGGAGGATCTCCCGGCCGGCCCCGCCCCCGCGCGCGGGAACCCGCGGGGCAGGGCCAACGTGCCGCGAATGGCGGCGATCTGGCAAATGCGTTGGCACTCGGCCCCGCGATCGGCCTGCCCCCGCCGCTGCGCGCGCCGGGTCCTTCTTTTAGGGCGCTGGCCAGGGCCTCACTCCCTCACGCGTGGGGTTGTCACCCTCTGGGCTTCGTCTCCCCCTTTCCCCCCC